AGGGTGACCATGACCCAACCCATGCCATGAGAACACACCCTGCACCAGCCTGCACAGTGCCTCGTTGACAACTGGGGTCCATGACTAGATGGGGTCTGCACCACACACAAACCCTACCATCAGCCTGAAATAATTGGTACCGTGACTCATCAGACCATGTCACATGTTGCCAGTCCTCTAGGGTCTAGTTAGCAACCTCACAAGCCCAGGTGAGGCACTGTGTTCGGTGTCGTGGTGTTAACAGACGCACTCTGGTGGGTCTTCTTCCACCACATCCCATGGAAGCTAAAGAACGCTGCACTGACCTGCAGGATATGTGTGTGGGGCCTCCTGCTTTGAATGTGGATGTGATTTCTGCCAGTTGCCTGTTCGCACGGACAATTCGAGCCAGATTCCACTGGTCACCGTCATTAAGCACCTGTCCATTATTTTAGTTTAAGGACCCTAATGTCAGTACAATGTCATTTATATGTTATCTTGTGATTATTGGGTCAAGCTCAAGTACTGCTTTATCCTGGTTTTGTGTTATTCAATGTGTGTGTGTTTGTTATGTTATAGGCAACATTCAAATAAAGTGTTCCCTTTTACTTTAAGGCCACTTATGTCAATGCAGTATCATTTACTTTATAAACATGTCATGTTGGTAAAAAATTACACATGTTCATAAATAATCAAGTATTGCTTTTAAAATATGCCATTTGGCGATTTTACATGTCTTATAACATATCTATATAGGTAGCCTTCAAACATAGTGTTACTGAAAATAGAATTTTAAAAGCAAACTTTTTTGGTGACTACGGTTCCCTTTAAAAGGACTAGGAGAGCAGAAAGGCAATATGGATGTGACTAAATAAGCGTAGTTAAAGTATCAGTGACACCAACTTAGCTACTTGAACTTTAACTCTTCTGTCCACTCACATTACCCTGCAAATGCCTCATAGCCATAATAACAGGGAGGACGTAGAGGCCAAGAAGGCCAACCAGACAGAAATAAAACAACCACACTGCACCAAGATTAGTATTGCAGAAGTGGAAAGAACAAGTGCATGCTGGGAATTGGCACATAGTGTCCTATAATAGCATCAAACTTAAAAGTCTGATGACGAAAGCATGCTTCATCCATGTTACAGACATTTCTTCAGAATAGAGTAGAATGTATAGAGTGCCAGAACTGATTTCCTCTGTTTTTGAATGTTTGTCACACTAAATAGTTGTAGATCCTCTTAAAAATGTAAAATACGACAATAAGAACAGGAGGAAAAAACAAAACACTGTTTTAATGATGTAATAACTGTTTGTGCCACCGTCCAGCAGCAACAACTGCAACCACATGCTTCCTGTAGCAAGAGATCAGTCTGTGATATGGTGTAATTTTGGCCCTCTCTTCTTTGCAGAATTGCTTTTACTCAGTAGCACTGAAGGGGTTTTGAGCACAGAGTACCCATTTAAGGTTCTGCCACTTATTCCATTCCCAAACCTTAACTTTGTTTCTTCTAAGCCATTCAGAGGTGGACTTGCTCTTGTGCCACAGATTGTTGTCTTGTTGTATTATCCAACTGCACTTCAGATCATTAACTGAAGACTGGAATCACAATTATGACAGTTATGTCTACAGCAAGACTCTGAAGCAACAAAGTCACACTACACCACCACCATGTTTCACTGTTGGTATGATGTTCTTATTGTGGAATATAATGTAAGAATTTATACCAGATGTAACAGGACCTCTGTGTTCCCTTTTAACTAATCTGTCTACAAAACATTATTCCAAAAGGCTTCTGGGTCATCAAAGTGTTTTGTAAAATTTGAGACAAGCCTTTATGTTCCTTTAGTTAGCGGTAGATTTTTCTAGCGACTCTCATGGATACCATTTTTGCCCAGTCTCTTTCTATTGGTGGAATCATAAATACATTTATCTGTGTATATAATGTATATGTTTAAATATCTAATAAATGATAATGAATAATAATTCACTCATCAGACAGAGGCACATGAAGTTCTTTGCTTCATATGATAACAAAAACAAGCTGTAATACCACAACACCCACCCCCCACCAACATGTCTTATTGTGTCCAAGAAGAGGAAGCAAGTTACAAGACAGGAAATGTGTGTGCATGCAAGCGACAAAGGTGCAGTCAGATACACCAACTACTCAGCAACAGAAATGTCAGAATAGTTCATGTGTAAATCATGTGTGCATGCTGTATGACCACAGTGGGCTGCCCAGAGCTTCCATTTAGACTTATCTTAGCTAAAGATCCCATCAGTAGTGCAGGGAGTGGTCAATGACAAATCAACAGAAAGATAGCCTCCCCTTCAAACAATGACCTAAGCAAGACTGTGGCCCTTCAGGACTGGCAAGTACACTTTATTAGGTACATCTACCTTTTCTCTACACTCACTGTCTGTTTAATCAGGTGCATCTACCATGTAGGTGCATTGAGGTTCTACAATTACAACCCAATGTCCAAAAAAGCCCAGAAACACTTGCACAAGCTATGATTTTAAATGTTTTACAACATGTGGATATTATTTAAAGGGATACTGATTCCTCTGTACTCCGCTGCTTGGAATCTGTTCTCTGTGTTTCCTATCCAACTCATTGTCCCGCACACATCACTGTGTACTTTATGATCAGGTTTCCTGGCCTTCATTAAACCTAACTTTTGATAAATCAGTACAGAACTATGCAGTAAACTGTAAATGGTTTAAGTGAGCATAAAGTTTATTATGTAATTTTACAAGTGCTCAATATGAACCTTCTTCAGCTGAACAGACAACATCAATGCCATAGTCAAATTCATCCCATACTCCATTGAGCATGTCGGGTGTCACTGTACTCACGGCTCTTTCAGTGCGATTTCAACGATCATTCAGTGTTGTGGAACCAATGACGAATGCTCTGAGCTGTTGGAGGTTCACTGCCAACGGAAATCACGCTGCACAGTTATGACGGATTCAGTGGAGAATGCAAAACGCTTTCTGCTCAGGGGTCTCACTCCTTGCAGACTGAAGGGAGCCATCTTCTGGTGAGTCAGAAACTCTATGACTCCCTCTTTCAATTGGATTTTGATTGGTTCTTAGGCGACTCACAGTTGTAAAATATGGTGCTTTGAAATCGGATTAACCTTTTTGAATCACTCTGTATATTGCTGTTGTCGGAAGAAACGCTGTTTTGTATTCTGGACATGTTTTATTTAAATTACCAATGTATTTATTGTTATGCTTCATTTCATATTTCTTGTAACTGGAAACTGCTGTCTTGGCCAGGTCTCCCTGGAAAAATATTTTAATCTTAAGGGAACTTAAATAAAAGTTAAATAAAAAATTAATAATAAAATTAGTATGTTATGTTATCTCCTGGCGGCAGTGGGTAGTGCTGTCGCCTCACAGCAAGAATAGCCTGGGTTCGGCTGGCTGAGTGACCAGGGTCATTTCTGTGTGAAGTTCTGCCTGTTCTCCCCGTGTCTGCATGGGTTTCCTCCCACAGTCTAAAAACATGCAGTCCATTGGACATGCTAAATTGCCCCTAGGTGTGAGTGAATGTGCATGTCTGTCTGTCTGCCCTGCGATGGACTGGCGACCTGTCCAGGGTGTATCCTGCCTTCCGCCCAATGTCAGCTGGAATAGGCTCCAGCACCCCACCGCGACCCAGAAGGATAAGTGGTTTAGATGATGTGTGAGTGTTATCTCCTTTTTATAAAAGACACTCGAAGACATCACACTAGCCTTGTCATTTTCAGCAAGTATGAACAGAAACCACAATGTGTTGTTCTGTTCTGGCTATTTATTTATGAAACAACCGAAAAATATGAGTCATAGAATAAAAGTATTATCTACAGCCAGAAATTAAGCCTGAGATCAAAATTCATGCTAAACACTGCAAAACAAAGCCATTCACAAAAAAAAAAACACAATGTGATTTGGGTGCCAATCTTTTGAACATGACTGTAAATCAAATCATTTACCTTGTTTTCTAGTAAATTTAAAGTAATTCTCAATGTAATAAAAACAAAATGCAGTACCTTTTAGAAGCGAAATATGTAAACATAAAAAAGGAGGTCTAAAAAATGTGAAATCAAAATGTGACATGTTTTCTGCAAATTTACAAACTTAGAAAAAGAAATATTCCAAAATGGAGACGTATGCAGATGTAATACAATGAGAAAGAAGGTCATTTGACTGACCACAATGACTATTAACACAATAAATGTTCATTATAATCATCAAATCTGTGTGTGGGGTTAGGTAGGTATGTGTGAATATGGGTATGTGTGTGTGTTGGGGCTATGTGTGTGTGTGTGTGTGTGTGTGTGTGTGTGTGTGTGTGTGTGTGTGTGAGTTAATTCAGTTTGATGCTGGCGTATTCAGTAGTTGCTTCAGTGTCTAACAGTACAGTTGCTGGTTTTGATCTTTTGTTGTGGACTACAGAAGAATACGTCACATCGTCCTGCAGAAATAACACATTAACACATTTCAGCTAACACTTCAACATTATAATACTATTTAATATTATTTAATATGCTTAATAAGCCTTAACAAGCCATTATTTAGTAACTAACCAGCTGCTCATTGCTACATTATTAAGCAATAATTAGGGGGAAATGATCTTTCAAAGCACTATTATTTGTGTATATACTATTGAAGTAATATGCATCATACATTAAAGGTCAGTTTTGTCGTGTTTCCAGTCTCTGATTTTGCTTGTTTTCTCAAGACCAGTTGAGTGCAAGATCTATTTATTTTAATTTCATTGTCATTGTATTTTTTTTCTATAAAATACTGTGTAAACTAGAGTGCATTTAAACTTTACACTATATAATATATGGATAAAAATGCTCTGGAAACTGTTTAATTCAGTCTCGTTGCTGCTTGATAATTAACAGCCATTTAGAAATTGGCTTGATTAACAGTTGCTTAACAGTTGTTGTCTTGATAAGGCTTAATAAGGGCATAATGGACACCAAATATGTGTAAAAGTATATGATGTATAACATACAAATAAAGATGATTAAAAATGCTTATTTCATAAGCAGCTTCTTAATTACCAACTACTGGCTTGTTGGGCTTTAGAATGTCCCCCGATACTGAGGTGTTAGGTACATGTAAGAAAGACTAAACATACGATTACAATATTACTCACGTTTTCTTCAACTTTTTTGCGCTTGTCTTCTTTATCCACAGCAGCGTACAGCACCTCACAATTGTTCTGAAAGAACACAAATTTGGTAAATTATACAGATTATGAACTACAACGAATATGATAGAATACAGTAATACCTACCTTGTAACTACACTAAGGACTCCCAAAGTCAGTCCTTGGGACCCCATGCTTTGCAGATTATTGTGTTTTCCTGCCTCTTACATGAGGAACCATATACAACAAGTTTTCTACCATTGAGGATAAACATTTAACCATGCATAGAACTCTGCATGCATTGAAATGGGTGGTTCTATATGTAACCTTTTTTCAAGAGTATACCATACAGGTGCACTTTACAGGTTTAAATTCACTGACTGTAGCTGTTTTCTGAAGACCAGTCAAGTGCAAGACCTCCTGTATTTTATTTCTAGTTATGTTTTTACACAAACATAAATGCTCTTGAAAATGCTTAATTCAGTCTAGCTGCTTCTTGTAGTAATTAGCAGCCAGTTCAAAGTTGGCTTAATATCCTATCTAACAGTTATTGGCTTATTGTCCATTATAATATTCTTCTATATTGAAGCATTATGAAATGTCATTATACACATGGAAGACAGAGTAAACGCATGACTGCAATGATACTCACCGTTTCTTTAACTTTGTTGCATTTGTCATCATTTACAGTAGCGTACAGCACCTCAGAATCATTCTGTAACAACACAAATTTGGTAATTTACACAGGTTATAAACACATTAAAATACAGGAATACCAAATCAGGACCCCACGCTTTGCACATGCTTGTGTTTTTCCTATTTTAAAACATTTGATCTGGTACATGAGCTAATTAATGAGTCGAATAAGGGGTGCTAGGTAAAGGAAAGAATAAAAATGTGCATATAATGGGGTCTCCAGGACCAGGATTGGGAACCCCTGACCTATACTCATTGGTTACCCCTACTCTTAGCAAAAATGGTTCTATGACTTCTCTGTGACTAAGAACCATATACAGCAGGTTTTCCATCACAGAGAAGAACCATTTATTTCATGCAATCAACCATATAAACATTCAAATGTGTGGCTATAACCATGTTTAAGAGTAAGCTGCATCTGTTGCAGCATAGTCCTTTTTGTACTACCAATGGAAAGAGAACACCACTGTCCGGATAACACCAATGGAATGAGATTCCATCACCAATGGAAAGAAAGCACAATTGGATCACCAGATACAATTAGGTGGACAATTTCCAGCACAGTGGCACTAACATAGTACCAGTAGCAACATGGTACCGTGAGTGTTGTTGGTGGTACAAGTGTATCAGCTGCAGCAGCACTGCTGAGGTGTTTGAACACTTTAATTTCCATACATATAATGCTGGAAAGCCTTGAAGGTGCACGGTCAGAGACTATACTTGTCTTTTTTACATGCACAGTTTATGTTAGCTATCCTCTAGGCCTTCATCGATGGTCAGTTTCTGTTTACAGGACCACTATTGGCAGGATGTCACTGGATAGGAGGCTATTCCTCAACCTAGCAGTGACTATAAAGTTTGTGAAAGCCTGATGCACTCATACCAGCCCCACGCATGGTAGAGTGGTCATTCAGTGGTGGTCTATTCATATTAATGAATGAGCTAGAAATGGGCTGACAAATTATGCAGCAACAGTTGGGCTACAGTCCGTAATTGTAAACCTACAAAGTGCATCTATATAATTACCTTTGGATGTAAGTGTATATATAAGTGGTGCCATAGAAGATCCACTTTTGATTCCATAAAGAATCATATTTGAAACAGAGGTGTGTGAGGGGGTGAAGAACTTTTTAAAGCCTTTAAACCTTTTTAAATGATTATTTTCCTTAACAATTTCAAGGTTCTTTCTAGACCATTTACATTATGTGGAAGTTTTTTTCAATTGCATGTCATTACAAAAATGGGTCTCTAAAGAACCATTCATTGAAAGTATCTTTAGGGAACCAAAAGTGGTGCTCACAAAGAAACCATTCTAGCACCTTTATTTTTAAGTGTATAATGAGCTGCCAGCTCAGGCTTTGATTTACTAAAGCTTTGTGTCAAATAGCAAAATAGTTCATGCTGTCCATTTTGTGTGTTTGCCTTAATGAATATGCAACTTTTAAGTGTTTCTTCCTGAGAGTGCAAAATGCTGGGCAGTGTCAATGCAAATTAATGAATTAAGCACCCACAGAGCGATTTACTAAGCCTGAAAGTAATTTTAAGAATGGTTATTGCATGTCTAAACGAATACAACTGAAAGCCAGGTACTAATCTAATGCAAGTTTCACACCATTGCTGATGTCATTATACTATTAATGTTTAGCCTAATTTTTTTTTTTTTTGGTTTTAAAATGTAGTTACTATATTATTGGACCAGCTCACCTACCTGTCAGGTTTACACTCAGCTGTCAAATTCAAGTGGATGACTGCAATGTCAAAAGGCTATTTTTTGCAGACTGTTAACCCCAACAGTGACATGCAATATCAAACAAAAACTTTATATCAAGATGCTGCAAACTTCACAAAAAAAAACAAAAACAAATTAAATACATCATCTTTGAGCAATATAAGAGTTGTTTTGTGAAATTCTGGAAACCCTTGAAGGCTACTAAAGAACTTAAAGCTTCACCAACTGACTTCAGTGACAACTGGCTGAGCTATTCTTAGGATACAGAAGCATGTGATAAAACTTTGGGCCCTCCGGTGGGCCCTGGTGAACTAAGAGGTTAATAGTGGATAACAAATTTTGCTTAGCAGTGATAGGAGGGTAGGGCTTGGAATCAGTCAATTATCCTTTGATAATATAAGAAGTAAAGGTGATACGCAGGGCCTGTTTGTAAGTGCATACCCTGCATTCCCAGACACTACACCACTGGATATATGCCTTGTCACTGGAAATAAGGCTGTCTTACAACAGAGATGACATATTAGCACTAAAAGAGAAGTCATTCTTCTGATCTTACCTGTGTCTCCTGATTTTTTCTCCATTCCGTTTTTCTCTCACAGCTCTCCATTTGCTTTTGTCTCTGAGCTGCAGAGTCAAACCACAGACTTTTACATACAGAAATTGCACAGAGCTACAAACACTAAAATGTAAATAGGATCTGTGCATGTATCTGTACCTCTGTATCTCCAATAGATGATCCCAGTGAGGATTATCAACAGTAGTAAGCCCCCCACAGCAGCATAAATGAAGAACTCAGGCTTGGATGTAGCTGTATTTGAAAGAAGAAAGAGGGTAAACATTTATGCAACTATGTGTGGAATTGGTTAGTACACTATATTATATGTGTGATCGAGTTAATGTAATGAATGTATCATTACCATATTTTGGTGGTGTTGTCAAAGAAGATTTGGTTGAAGTGACAGTACTGGTTCTGTCAGACTTTATGGTTGGACCGGGTGGTGGAAGGTCCTTGTTCACTGGACTAGAAGTTATAGGTTTATTTGTGGCAGCTGTAAGAGACAAATTTGATGAGCTGCAAATAATTTATTGCAAAACACATTACAGTTAAATTTCAAGAATTTAATAATATACATTAATTGGAGTAGGATTTACATATACAAGAACACTTTCTATGAATACCATGTCTACAAGAATCTATGAACACATTCATAGCATGTTATAATGCATTAATAAGGCATTATAAACATGATGATAAACATTTAGAAAAATGTATTAAAATTCATTGCCATGTTTATTATGCATTATGAATAATATAAATTATAATTTGTAATGTTTTTTTTTTTTTTATAATGAATTATAAAAGTAGTGTTCATAACATGTTACATTTGCCACAGAATCTCAGACCCCAGCCTGCATTATGGGTATATATAGTATTTTTGATAGACATTATTATAACCCTATTATGATAACTGGTTGTGTGTTTGCATTATTGTTGCAGAGGTTTTTGCTCTTGACTGCCTTTGCTCAATGGTAATGTTGTACTCAGAGGGGGTCTTGTGGGGAGGGGCTTTGGTGGATAGGTGAGTTGCTGTGATGTGAAATGTAATAGTTTTAGTACTATTTTGTGTGGGTACACTGGTTAATTGATATCAACTTTATTAGAGAAATAAAATGTGTCTTCCTTTACACATTAGCTGTTATTCATAGTATTTGACTATGTCATTAAGAACACTTTCTTCCTATCTTGGAGTGCTGTAACTCTGACTGTGCCATGATCTAATCTCATCATGCTTTCTGCAGCTACAACACTGCAGGTGGATGAAGACCAAGCAAAAAAGACTAGAATGACCATGAAAAAGCTGAAAATATATGTGGACACTTTAGACACTGTCTTCAGAAAATGCTTCGTGGAGAAGATGATTGGATTGGTGGACTGGATGTAAAAATGTAGAAAAAGAAGCTGATGAATATGAAGCTGATGAATATGAAACTAAAATAAGCTGACTTTATTTTTTTAATTTATGCAAAGTCATCAATTTACATCAATAAATACATCCTAAAACAAGAAATACCAACAAATCTTTAAGTAAGATTAAGTGACCCTTATTAGTCCCACAATGGGGAAATTTCACCTCCGCATTTAACCCATCCGTGCAGTGAAACACCACATACACACTAGTGAACACACACACTAGGGAAAAGTGAGCACACTTGCCCGCAGTGCCCAGGGAGCAGTTGGGGGTTAGGTGTTTTGCTCAAGGGCAATTCAGTCACATACTGTAAGCTCAGAGAATTAAACCGACGACCTTCCAGTCACAAGTCTGGTTCCCTAACTTCCAACCCACAACTGGGTTGCACAAGAGCTATAATCAGTCACTAGAGCTGCTAGAGTGTTAAACACGTCTCACTGGCTGATCTAATGCTTCATTCCAAACCTCCTACTTCTGTGCTTTACCTATTACACTAATGAGTGCACTTCTAATGGTACTGCACCATATTGCATACCATTTAGTGTCTCAGTATGCCATTAGCAACATGGCAACAAATCAAATAAGATCAAAGCAATCCTCTGGAGTACACTGGCGAATATGCTTTGAAAATGAAATTTAAACAGAATTTTTAAGTTAAAATGTTTTACTGCCCTTTCTGGATCGGCTATGGCTTTGTTATCTTATAAGAAATCACAACTGCACAACCAAATGAACATGAAGTTGCATACCAAAAAGATGGCTGTGGGATTCTGAAAGATCATCAGAATACTTTGAATTCTTTTCTTGTTTTCTTGTTTGAAATGGATATAATGGATATTAGAAGGAAAGACTCACATATACAACTGGTACTAACAAATAATATTCATTACACTATCAGCAGTGGGTGGTACGATGGTTGAGTTTGATGCTACACAGCATATATGCAAAAGAACCCCATTTTAAACTGCTTTTCACAGAAGAACTTAAATTATCCAGCCTGACAATATGTAGCCTTGATTTCTAAAGAATGATATGACATGGGCAGATAACAGAGCAGCCAGAAAGGAGAGTATTTCTCAGAAACAAATTAGAATTGTCTTGCTAATGTATCAATTAACCACATACTGAATGCCCTGAGATGTATCTTCATGAATAGCCATGCACAGTGTTCAACCAAACACTGATGTTTATAAATCAGAGGTGACAGGAAGAAAACATATACAAAAAATATACAAATAACTGGAAAAGTGGCTGAATAGATTTAAACCAGAAACTACATTTAACACAAGGAACACCAGAATAACACAACCTGAAACAGAGCTCAGAATTACAAGATAGAATAACATGTACACATGACTTCACCAAACAATGTATAAACTGAAAGCCATTTGTACAAACACAGGATTTAAGTACAAGCAAAAAACAGGTGAATACGATGTCTGGGTGGAGCTAGGTACCCAAGGAACCAGGGCGAAAAAGACCTCGGTGAACAGTGACGAGGGGGTGGAGTTATGATGGAAAGATCCAAAACAGAATCCCAAGGTGGGGATTGTGTGACAATAAAATAGTCCTTAATGCATAAATCATAGGACAATACAAATATGCATATACTCTAAAAATAAGTAAACAAAACTACTGCACAGACACCCTCACTACAGAACCCTCATTAAGGTTCTTCTTGGAGCATTTGTAATGTAATGCTAACAAAATAGAATACAGTTAATTCAACACAGTTTTTACTCAGAATACAAATCAGTGTTTTACCTTTAACAGTGAGTCTGATGTATGTGAGTCCACTTTTCATAGCATCACACATGTACACTCCTCTATCCTCTACAGTCAGGTGTGATATGAGTAGAGAGAGATTTCCTGGAGAGTGACCATTAAACAGCTGAACTCTGTTACTGTACTCATCACGTTCAATGAGTTTACTGTCCCAATTTTGATTGATGTGTTTCTTCCAGCTGAATGTCTCAGGTTTGGCACATAGCTCAGCGCAGGAGCAGGGCAGCAGTACTGACCCTCCTGTATGAGCTGTGATATATGATGTTATTGTATTGTTGGTCAGAGTGCAGCCTGCAGAAACACACATTCAGGATTGAGGATTATTGTTTGCATGTGAAAACTCATCCAGAAACACTAAATATTACCATATAATTAAGAATGATAAGTAAGAAACCGACCAAATAGTTTATCATAAAATACCATATTATTGAATTTTCTGTCTTCAGCTCCACAAACCTGACTACTGCTACAAACAGCCATTCACTATTAAACCTTTACTGAATAAATGAAGCTGCACTACAAAAAGTCTGACAATAGCTATGAAATATAAATTATTCTACTACTCTTGATTTCAAGCATGGAGAAGCAGTTTATGTAACTATGTAAAGTAACAATTATTTCAACAATTCACCATCATTACAACAGAATCTGGAAGCATTAGTCTTCATTCTTGTGCTACTGCAAAGCTGGAGAACTAATGCAGGTGTAATTTTTACCTAAAAGAGCTTTTAAGTTGATTCTATCAAGTGTCTAGTTATGAGATCATCACTGTACAACGCATGTGAGTCAAAACAGAGTTTTACCTTTAACAGTGAGTCTGATGTCTGTGTGTGGGCTGCCTTTAGCTGTACATCTGTAATATCCTCCATCCTCTTCAGTCAGGTTTAATATGAGTAGAGAGAGATTTCCTGGAGAGTGACCATTAACCAGCTGAACTCTGTTTCTGTGCTGACTATTCTCACTGGATACCTCTTGCCAACTGTCTCTGTTTTTGCTGTATTTCTTCCAGGTGACTCTCTCAGGTGTGTCTTGTGGGTCAGTGCAGTAGCAGGGCAGCAGTGCTGACCCTCCTGTGTATGCAGTAATCTCTTCTAACTGCCCATGGCCTTTCAGTGTGCAGCCTGCAGAAACACACCAGTTAATGACCTTCACTATCATCACTTGTGTAACACTTGATCAACCATGAACAGGATTTTACTTTTAGGGCATTGCCATTAAAAGACATGCTTGACCAGCCTAAGCACAGTTTCTAAATCAGTTTAATATTAGTTATTTTATTATACTGTTGAGAAACTCACATCAGCTTAAGTGGTGAAATAGTTATAATTACTTGAAATATGTGGTTGGAAGTGGCTTTGAAGGCAACCAATCAACTTAAATGATTTTAACTGCTGCTAAATGCATATCATTACACCCAAGTGCCATCAGTAAGATTTTGGCCTGACTTTGAATTAATTTTTACACAGTACTGTGTTATACTAGTATCTACAGTAGGAGATATAACAGTGCACTCACCTTCAGCAACATGGAGTACAAGCAGCAGATAAAAACAAACCTGCATTCTTCCTGAGTTACAGAACCTCCTCACTACATACAGAGACACACGACTGCAGATATGACCACTCCTACACCCGCTCTACTGACCGATCTGTCAGCTACTCATAAACTACACTACCTCAGTACTTCTGCAGAGCTCTTTTCAGACCTACAGTCTACCTGACACAACCAGCACACGAGCAAATCCTGTATCTCTCTCAGCAGGACTTCACTGGACTCTTCCGCACTCAAACGTTTGCACCTGAAAGAGGAACTGTGTTCAGATGAGCTCATCTTTCTCTCTCTGTCACTCACACACACCAAATATAGTGATGTGACAGCATCCTGTCAGCTCTTCCTCTTCCTTCTCTTGTAGCACACAGTGCACAATATCACATGTAGTCATTTGTTGTTAAAGCCCCGCCCCTCTTTCTCTTTCTCTCTATACAGTCACTGGGCACTTTATTAGAAACCCCTCATTGTAGTTCCACCAGCCCAAAGCCCACCCTTTGATATACGGTTTGTATTAGCGATCCTCTGGGTCTTTATCAGTGTTTAAACTCACAACCCTTTATTTTTTACAGTCTACATGAAAATGTACAGTCATGGCCGAAAGTGTTGGCACCCCTGAATTTTTTCCAGAAAATGAAGTATTTCTCCCAGAAAATTATTGCAATTACACATGTTTTATTATACACATGTTTATTTCCTTTGTGTGTATTGGAAAAATTTCACGCAAAACAAAAATGGGCCGGACAAAATTATTGGCACCCTCAATTTAATATTTGGTTGCACACCCCCAATGGAAAAAATAACTGAAATCAATCAATTCCTATAACCATCAACAAGCTTCTTACACCTCTCAACTGGAATTTTGGACCACTCTTCTTTTGCAAACTGCTCCAGGTCTCTCATATTTGATGGGTGCCTTCTCCAAACAGCAATTTTAAGATCTCTCCACAGGTGTTGTGGGTGGACTCATTGCTGGCCACTTCAGAACTCTCCAGCGCCTTGTTTCCATCCATTTCTGGGTGCTTTTTGAAGTATGTTTGGGGTCATTGTCCTGCTGGAAGACCCATGACCTAGGATGTAAACCCAGCTTTTTTTCTGGGCCCTACATTGCGACCCAAAATCCTTTGGGAATCTTCAGATTTCATGATGCCTTGCACACAGTCAACAAAACCCCAAAACAACCCCAAAACGTCTTTCAACCTCCACCATATTTGACCGTAGGTACTGTGTTCTTTTCTTTGTAGGCCTCATTCCGTTTTCGGTAACCAGTAGAATGATGCGCTTTACCAGAAAGCTCTATCTTGGTCTCATCTGTCCACAAGACATTTTCCCAGAAGGATTTTGGCTTAGTCTTGTACATTTTGGCAAACTGCAGTCTAGCTTTCTTATGTCTTTGTGTCAGCAGTGGGGTCCTCCTGGGTCTCCTGCCATAGCGTTTCATTTCATTCAAATGTTGACGGATAGTTCACGCTGACACTGATGCCCCCTGAGCCTGCAGGACAGCTTGAATTTCTTTGGAACTTGACTGGGGCTGCTTATCCACCATCCGGACTATCCTGTGTTGCAACCTTTCATCAATTTTTCTCTTCCGTCCACGTCCAGGGAGATTAGCTACAGTGCCATGGGTTGTAAACTTCTTGATTATGTTGCGCACCGTGGACAAAGGAACATCAAGATCTCTGGAGATGGACTTGTAACCTTGAGATTGTTGATATTTTTCCATAATTTTGGTTCTCAAGTCCTCAGACAGTTCTCTTCTCCTCTTTCTGTTCTCCATGCTTAGTGTGGCGCACACAGACACACAATGCAAAGACTGAGTCAACTTCTCTCCTTTTTATCTGGTTTCAGGTGTGATTTTTATATTGTCCACACCTATTAATTGCCACAGGTGAGTTTGAACGAGCATCACATGCTTGAAACAAAGTTATTTACCCACAATTTTGAACAGGTGCCAATAATTTTGTCTGGCCCATTTTTGGAGTTTTGCATGAACTTATATCATTTTTGGCTTTTGTGTTGTTCCAATATACACAAAGGAAATAAACATGTGTATAACAAAACGTGTAATTGCAATAATTTTCTGAAATACGTCATTTTCTGGAAAAATTTCAGGGGTGCCAACACTTTTGGCCATGACTTTATATATTAGAAGTGTAGGTTTTCAGTGCATTTGAAAGCAAAAGATTATTATTAGTAAAATCAATACTAGAAATGTATTCATTAAAATGTCTTTAGTATTTCATGTTGTAATGTTTATTTTTTATTAAAATAATATTTGTTTAGCTGTTTCCTCCCAAGGTGCAAAGACATCAGGTCAAGTGGAAACAATAATTCCCCCTAGGTGTGAATGTATATGGCTGTGGGATGGACTGGCGACCTGTCCAGGGTGTTTCGCCCCTTCCTTTCCTTTGCACCCTCCACAACCCACAAGGATAAGCAGCTTAGTTACAAAAATGTAACTACATTTATAAAGTGATGTGCCACCCAAAAAAGCAATGACGGGATTCTGTAATTTCACTGTAACCTCATAAGAACAACACAGGAACTGTCCACTTATTTTAAAGTGTAACTCTTACATAGTTACTGTGGAATATTAGTTTTGTAACATGGTAACCTGATCAAATCATATTGATCAATATCACTGTGTATTTCCAGAATATCTAAATATAGAGAAATCTTGTAAAGATAATGGAGATGTTGTTGTTGTCATTCAGCTGCAGTGTAAGTACTGTTATAATACAGGTAACTGCACAGCAGGTCCAATCAGAAAATCCTTTCTGGAAGAACAGCAGTTCAACCTAATATAAAGATACAGTGCTACTAGAATAACTACTGTTACTGTATCCATTAACATACATTTGCATAATTAAACTCAGGCTGATACATGTGCATCCAGTCATCATAATGAGTGAATTGTGCTCACATGTCCAACATTATTATCAATGTTTGTCATCATTTTAATGCAACACATGCTCAGTGTTCTATGTTGAGCTGAGTAATAAATATATATATATATATATATATATATATATATATATATATATATATATATATATAAATATTGAAAATTGTTATTAGGTACAAGCTTGCACATGCTAATGCTAACTAGCCTAGCAGTGTCTGCTAAAGTCTAAACTAGGTGAGCTTTGCATTACTTTAAAGCATCTGATCCAGCTCATCAACTGTTTCACGAGCTGATCAGGTGTGTTGGGTCAGGCAGGTATTGAATATGCAGTGCTGTGAGGAGAGGGAGAAAACACAGCACCAGATGAACACAGTAAAGTGTGGAAAAAAACACTGATATCTGCCAGCTACCAGTTACTGCTGCTGTGAGAAAGTTGAAACACAGAAGTCATGTTTGTAGTTCAGAAGCAAATGTTTTATTCAGGTGTTTTTGTCAGTAGCTGGTCTGTTGATCTGGTGTGAAAGTCAGTAGCTGGTCTGTTGATCTGGTGTGAAAGTCAGTAGCTGGTCTGTTGATATTTGAAAGTCAGTAGATGGTCTGTTGATCTGGTGTGAAAGTCAGGTGCTGGTCTGTTGATCTGGTGTGAAAGTCAGTAGCTGGTCATCAGATCAGATGTGTTGTAAGTAGCTGGTCAGCAGATCAGATGTGTTGTCAGTAACTGGTCTGTTGGTTTTATTCTCTGCTGTAGACTCACTGCTCCATCTTCATCATCATTTCTGTAGTAAATTGTAGCAGCACCTGGGACTTAAATGGTTAAGTTAAAAAGAAACATTCATTTATGCACAAATATGAATACAAGAACAGCAGCAAGACTACAGCTGCTTGATTGTGTAGTTTGTATCTTTGTTTTTCTTGGTGTGATAAACCACAGCTACTATAATGTGGAGGAAGATCACAGTCACCAAGGCGAAGGGGATGAAGGGCAGAGACTGTGGAGGTTCTGCATCACCAGCAGCATCATTCAGGGGTGAATTTCCAAAAAAATGTCAGAGCAAAAAGACAATGTAAGACAGTAGAACAATTATCTGAAAATTAAAAATTGATAACACTTTCTTTTTGATGGTCGACTGTAGACACTAAGGAGGTGCTCAGTCTTTCTTTAACTAACACTCAACTGAATATTTATTGAATGCTAAACCTGCAGCTACTCCTAAACCTAAACCTAAACATGAACCATAGTATTATGTAACATCAAATAAGTATCACCAGAAAGTTTCAAATTTCAAAGGGCCATCAAAACAAAGTGTGACCTAAAAAAGGGGTCATCTTAACAGTCTAATGCTGATCTATATCTCCAAGGTAGTTAGTCAGAAAGTTAAATTTATACTGTTTACATTTGTTTCAAAGGGTAATTTGTGAAGCTGATGTCTGTGAATGGAGTTTACTGTTACCTTTCTGAGAAGAAGTTGTGGTAGAAGGTTCAGCTGAAGTTTTCAGTTGAATGTTCCTACCAAGTGTTGGAGTAGGTTTTGGTGGAGAAGCTGCTGAAAAGAGAGAAGATTATGATAGCATCCATGATAAGTTTTAGTACTAGTTTGTGACGGTTCTAGTACTGCTTTGGTACATTAGAATGTAGTGGCTTTAATGAACTTTATTGTAGTCTAAAAAACTCACTTTACATAGAGCTCTTAATAAGAAGTATGCAAAAATAACCTGGTGAAACCTGGCAGCTATAATCAGTCACTGGATCTGCTAGATTGTTGAATGTGTCTCGACGGCTGACCTAATGCTTCATCCCAAACCTCATACTTCTCTACATCACCTACTAAACTCCTCTGAAGTACATTGGTTAATATGCTTTTAAAATGAAATGATGGAAGACCCCAGCCTGCATTATGCGTAGGGGTGTGGGAAAAATCAATTTTTAGATGCATCGCAATGCAGACGTGGACGATTCAGAATCGATTCACAAATGTCAAAAAACGATTTTCTAAATATTTAACTTATAACGTAATGTTGATGGAACTCAAAGGGCGTAACTTGGAAGTGGGTAGGTGCAGCACCCGGACAGTCTGTGGCGCGGCACATAACAAAAACACAACTGGATGAGCAAGAAATCCGACCGGCTCCCTCTGCATTAAAAGCCAGGTTAAATCAGGAGTCACAACACAAATGTTAAGAAGAGCCATTTTGTCCTTTCAACAAAAATCAAACCACCTTCGGAGCCGCAACATTTATGTCCAGTATGTCTCAGTGTGTGATAATGTCCTGGTATAGGTTAAAAAATATAAACGAAAACACAGACTTACTTTGCTCTGCTTTAAGTTTTAGCTATAGCCGCTTTTCTTCCAACTCCGCCAGAAAACTTTTCCTCAAAAGTTTAATAGTTTCCTGTAAAATGTCTCTCAGCGTTCCGCTGTTTTACGAGGCTCAAGTCGCTTCTCACTCGCCAGCTTCTTGCTGAACTTTTCCGTTCCACCTTAAATTCTGACTGAGGAGCCGAATGTAAAAGCGGCACCATTTAAGGTGGAACAGGAAAATTAGAATGCGAAGCAACTTCATCTTCGCAACTTTTTAGTTAGTGTCTGACAGTCTCTCACTGCAGATTTAACGTACCAGGAAACCAACTACGCTGCTTATAAATGCGAATAAGTCCATTCATCTCCAAATGTTTGTCTGTCTTTCTTTTTTCCTTTTTCGCTTGCTACTCGCTCGGCGAAACCTCGTTGCTATGTGACCTGCAGTCTTTCACGTAATCGTTAATTATGAGTATACAAAATAGTATTTTTGATGGACATATGTTATTATAACCTCATTATAAGACCTGGTTGTGTGTTTGCATTATTGTTGCAGAGGTAAGTGCTCAATGGTAATGTCATACCCAAGCAGGTCTTATGGGGAGGTGTTTGGTGCATAGTCGGGTTGTTGTGATGTAAAATGTAAAAGTTTTAGTTTTTGTACTATTTTGCTTGGACTTACACTGGAAATGCTGTGGATTTCATTTACTTTACTGTAGTCCAAAAAACTCAATTTATAAAAAGGTTCACATTTCCACATTTCAAGTAAAGACATGTCACAATACATTATTGTGCATGAATAATTATTTAATTCTCAGATAAGAGTAATTCTTAAGTTGTTTAAAGAAGTCATAGCATGCCTCACTGTCTGTTTATAATGAGGCAGGTTTGTTCTGGCATTGACGGAGACCTGGATCACTGGATGAATTCGGCGACTCCAGCAGCCCTGTTCTCTGCCTTTCACTTCTCCCATTCTCCGAGACAGTCTGGCAGGGGTGGTGGCACAGGTTTGCTTTTGTCCAGAAAGTGGCATTTCACTCCACTTGCTTTTTCTCATCTTTCAATTTCCTCCTTTGAGTACCATGCTGTCACTGTATCTTTCCCCACTAAACTTCACATCATTGTTCTTTATCGTCCTCTTTCTCCTCTAGGCTAATTCGTTGATGAGTTAGACACTCTTCTGAGTCTCTTCCCCATCGATGGAACCCCGATCATACTCTTGGGTGACTTCAACCTGCCATCGGACAAACTGCAGTCATCCTGCCTATTACCACTGCTGTCATCCTTCGACCTCTTCCCCAACCAGACTCCTCTGGCGCACAGAGCAGGCAACGCTTTGGACCTGATATTCACCAGACCTACCTCTGCGCTGGATGTCACAGTAACTCCCTTTCACCGCTCTGATCACTACTTCCTATCTTTCTCACTCTTCCTACCTGCTGCTCCTGTCCATTCCACCCCTTCACACTCCTCCTCTCAATGCAACCTGCACTCCACTCCTTCCTCCTCTTTCATCTCAACTATCCTGACCACTCTCCCCCATCCTGATTCATTTTCTTCTCTCTCACTGGACACAGCTACAGATACTTTCCTTTCTTCACTCTCATCTGCAATTAATTTTCTGTGTCCTCTCTCCTCCAGGCCAGCAAGATTTTCTCCACCTGCCCCCTGGCTGACAGGTGTCCTGTGCAGCAACCGGCAAGAACTAAGGAAGGCTGAGAGAAGGTGACGGAAATCCCAGCTTGACTCGGATCTTCACTCCTACCAATCTCTCCTTTTCAAGTTCTCACTCGAAGTTTCTGCTGCAAAGTCATCTTTCTACAGACGGAAACTGGAAGGATCAGCATCTGATCCACACAAGCTCTTCAGCATTTTCTCCTCTCTCCTCAACCCTCCTCCTCCCCCTCCACCCTCTTTTCTCACTCCTGAGGATTTTGTCACCTTCTTTGAGGAGAAGGTTGATAGAATCCGCCAGTCTTTTCCCTCTGTCCCCACCCCTTCCGCTAGACCTCCTCCTCTCGTTCTCAATCCCTTAAACTGTTTTTCTTCTCTTTCCACAGATGCTGTCCTTCAACTGATCAAATCCAGTAACCCAACCACCTGCCCACTGGATCCCATTCCATCCGCATTGTTCCAGTCAATCTCCAAGGACCTACTGCCCTTCATCACTTTTCTCATTAACAACTCCTTGTCATCAGGTGAAGTCCCATCAACTTTCAAGACTGCAAGAGTACTTCCCATCCTGAAGAAGCCCATGCTTGACAGCTCTGATGTCAACAACTACAGACCGGTATCACTCCTTTCTTTCCTCTCAAAAATTCTTGAACGTGCAGTCTATAATCAACTGTCTCTCTTACTCACACAGAACCAGCTCCAGGACCCCAACCAGTCTGGCTTCAAACCAGTGCACTCAACAAAAACTGCTCTTATAGCAGTGACCGAGAAGCTCCAGTCAGCAAGATCAGCCAGTCTGTCATCTGTCCTGATTCTCCTTGACCTCTCAGCAGCTTTTTACACGGTCAACCACACAATCCTTCTGGGCGTCCTCACCAACCTTGGAATCACTGGCTCTGCATGGAAGTCGTTCAAGTCCTATCTGGAGGATCACTCTTATCAGGTAACATGGAGAGGGTCCACATCCTCTCCATGCAGGCTCTCCACTGGTGTCCCACAAGGCTTGGTGCTAGGTCCTCTTCTCTTTTCTCTTTACACTAGCTTTCTATGTAATATCATCTCATGGCTTCTCTTATCACTGTTATGTTGATGACACTCAACTAATGCTTTCTGTCTCACCCTCTGACACACAGGTTTCCAGTTGGATCTCGGCATGTCTGTCTGACATCTCTTCATGAATGGCAGCTCACCACCTGAAGTTCAATCCTAGCAAGACTGAGCTGCTGTTCATCCCTGCAACTACAGGTCTTCATCATGATCTTGCCATCTCATTCGAGAACTCTCTGATTGTCCCGTCTGTAGAGGCAAGAAGTCTTGGTGTGGTTCTGGATTGGCCAGTTATCGTTCTCGACTCACATTGCGAACCTAACTCGGTCATGCAGATTTCTCTGTAACACTTTCTTTGAAGGGTGTCTACATAACACATTCATATCACCTTACATAAACACTTCATAACATGTTCATGAATGCTTAAATCAACATTCATAAACTATACATGTTTTACATGATATTAATATGGATGGTAACACTTTCTAAGAATGTCACCTTTGTAAGCATCTATAAACACATTCATAACATGTTATAATGCATTCATAAGACATTATAAACATAGCTATAAATATTTATAAAAATGCATTATACATTATAGCCATGTTTATTATGCATTATGAATTGTTAACATAATACATTATAAGTACTGTTCATAACAAATCATAAGCGCTCATGAGTGGTATTTGTCCGCTCTAAGTAAAGTGAAGCGTACTGTACTAAAGCCTCCTCCAGTGTTAAGAGTGAGGCTTCAAGTTGAAGTATTTACTGAAGGATTTACTGAAACAGTAAAACATACACAATAAAGCACATTACAGGCTTCAAATGTCAGAGTTTAAACTAGTGCTGCCATCAGTGTTTCACCCAAAGTGGGAAAGTCAATGTACACCACCGTTAGCTTGGTATTTGTCTTTACTTTGCGGTCTCCAAGCTGGGACTGACTTCTTTGGCACTGACAGTATAACATGTCATTAACACTAGT